GTGGCGGGATTCCCGTGTGTGGCCGTGGCTGTGCTGGGGTGCCCGTGGGTAGCCGTGGCTGTGCGGGGCCGTGGCTGTGGCGGGGTTCCCGTGGGTGGCCGTGGCTGTGCTGGGGTGACCGTGGGTAGCCGTGGCTGTGCGGGGCCGTGGCTCACACCGCTGCCAGCGCCTTCCGTGACGCAGCCGGGAGCGAAAGCCGCGGAGCAGCGGCTGCGGCTGCCAGGGAGCGCTGCCCGCGTCGGGGAGAGACCGTGGCCCCGGGGAGGGTGGCAGGTGCCAACACCTCTGCCAGGAATCTCCCTGCCTTCGTCGGCAAAGTCGGTTACTCAAAGTTTCCGATGGGGCTGACGCCTTCTGAGGAAAGGGAGTGGAGCCCTTTCCCTGCTGCACGCCCACCTCCTACCCCCGCCCGGGGAGGGGAGGGGGGCAACACCCCCCTTTGATTCCTCAGCCGCCCAGGCTTTCAAACTTCCACATTTATGGGCCGGATTCCATCTGATTCCGGTGCCGGCGGCCAGTTCGGTTCTGGGAACGTGTGGGGACCTGCCTGGGGCTGTCCGGACGCGAGAACCACACCGGAGCCACACCGGAGCCACACCGGCGCTGCCACCGCTGCCGTGGCCGCGTCACGGCCGGGCTGAGCCCAGCTCCTCCCGAGGGCAGCACGGCCGGTGCCTCCAGCCCGGCATCTCTGCCAGGAACGGGCTGCGGGGCCGGCAGCGGCTTTCGCGGCCGCAGGAGCGGGGCGGACAGAGCTGCTGGCAGGTGCCGCCAGCCCCGCAGGTGTTTTGCATGTGCATGGCACAGGATGCACGCGTAGGCAGCAGCTGTGGGCCCGTGGGACACAGGAGGCAGCGGAGCCCCTCGCTGCCGGCCCACAGCGCAGGACGGAGCAGCTGTCCCGGCTCTCAGGCAGCAGCTGGACCCCCCTTCCCCCAGGCAGGGACCCCCGAGTCCCCCTCCCCTCTCCCAGTCCTTCCCGGGGGCGGCAGCAGCCCCGGGGCCTCCCGCCCGTCCGCAGCTCCTGGCACGGGAGCCGGGCGCGATCCTGATCCTGCGAACACAAACAGCTCTGCCTGGGCAGATCCGAGCCGCGCTGACATCACCGGGTGGAGGGAGCCGGCTCCTGCCGAGACCTTTCCCCGGGCCGGGCAGCGAGCCCGGGGCACGGCTGGGACAGGGGAGCAAGCGAAAGGAAAAGCTGCTGGCTTGGCCAGGGGGCACGGAACGAGCTGGAGGAACACGGGCGGACGAAGCCGGGTGCACGGAGCCCCGCTGGAGAGGCGGCTCCTGGGGTGGGCAGGGCCCGGGCACAGCACCCACCGGCACCGTCAGGCTGCTTTTCGCTGCCAGCGCTTGTTTGCACGCGTGGAGCCGGGGAGGAGCCGGGTCTGTGAGCTCTGGGCAATGAGACACAGCCGCTCCGCACTGTCCCCCCTCGATGTGACCCCTGCGGGAGGTTCCGTGTGGCACCGGCTCTCCCTGGGGTTCTGCATGCTGGATACCTCGAGGCAGCCGAGCCCAGAGATCCCGGTGGGCAGCACCGTGCCCCCCCTGCCCGGCTGCAGGAGCTTGGGCTGGGGCATCTCCTGGGTCCTCTTGGCGCTTGGCCCGTGCCTCGCCCGCCCCTGAGGGCCAGTGCAAGCCCTGACAGACCCCGCTCGCCCCGGGGCTGGCGCTCTGCCCTCGGGGATGGAGCTCACGAGGGAACGAGCCACCGGAGCTGCCCCTCGCTGCTGAAGCCCCCCGCTGCAGGAGGTGCTGCAGCGTTGCAGGAGGTGCTGCAGCGTTGCAGGAGGTGCTGCAGCGCTGCAGGAGCGGGGCGCTGGCACAGGGAGGCTTCGCTGCCCGGGGGCACTGGGTGACCGCAGCTCCCGGAGCCCGGCACGCCCGTGCTCGATCGTGAGCACCCTCCAACCTCCCGCTGCTCACGGCCCGGTGCCGCGGCTGTGGCGGGTCCAAGTTATCGGGATCCAGTTTTTAGAGTTATTAGGAATGCCTCTGCCTGATCGAGGTGCAAACCAGACCATATGCCAAAGTCAATAGTGTGAGTTTTATTTGACAGTAAACATGCGAGAGAGAAGGAGAAAGAAATAGAAAATAGGTGGGTGGACAGAAAGAGAGTGACAGAGACAAGAATAAAGAAAATATCACCATTCGTGGATCCCAACCATTGATCCCCTCTCCAGCTGATCTTCTTGGTGGTGAAGGTCTCCCTGGGAAGCAGAATCCCATGGGTTTGTATACGCTCAGGCCAGGGAGGAAATCCCCCCTGGGATTGCCGTGGTCTCTTAAACAGACTCTGGATTTGTCACGTGCGGTCCTGTGGTGCCTCAGGAATGACTCTGGGGGTCTCTGATGGGTGAAGGCACCTCCTCAGCTGCCCCTCACATAAATGTCCCGTGGATGTGGCCTTCCCAGGGCTCCCACAGCCAGTTTGTGTAAGGGAAGAGAGGTTCACTGCCCTGAGCGGAGATTACAACACACCGAAACTTCCTCCACCCACCTCGGCTGAGGGGGAAATCTGTGCAAAGCTGCTCCCAGCAGATGGGTCTGTGGGCTATGGCCAAAGCAAGCCAGAGATGATTCTTAGCACGGCTGCTGGGTTTGGCCCACATACTTTTCCTTGTTTACTTGTTTACTTCTCCCCTGAAGAATGGGTTTCCCTTTATCTAATCTCAGAAGCTTGAGTTTCAGTCCAAAGTTCCATTCCTTAGGGAGGGGTGGGCTTCAATGGGCAAAATTTTATGTCAGTGTTTGAGGCATTAACTATTTCAGTCTCTGACACAAGTGCATCCTGCAGCTTTGCCAGCAGGAGGGCAGGTGTGGATTAGGTGCAATCTCACCCTGAGGTAGCCCTGGCTCTTTTCCTGGTGGCCACTGCTCACTGGGATGGAGCCTCTGCCTTCCTTGGACAGGGTGAGAAGGGGGACAATGGAAGGACAGGGGGGTTCTTGCAGCAGCCCTGTGGGAGCACATGGACCTGCATGCCAGCAACCTGAGAATCACACAATCATGGAATGGTTTGGCTGGAAGGGGACCTTAAAGCCCATCCAGTCCCACCCTGTGCCATGGGCAGGGACACCTTCCATGGGACCAGGCTGCTCCAAGCCCCAGTGTCCAACCTGGCCTGGAAAACTTCCAGGGATCCAGGGGCAGCCACAGCTGCTCTGGGCACCTGTGCCAGGGCCTGCCCACCCCCACAGGGAACAATTCCTGCCCAAGATCCCATCCAGCCCTGCCCTCTGCCACTGGGAGCCATTCCCTGGCTCCTGTCCCTCCGTGCCTTGTCCACAGTCCCTCTCCAGCTCTCCTGGAGCCCCTTCAGGCCCTGGAAGGGCTCTGAGCTCTCCCTGGATCCTTCTCCTCTCCAGGGGAACATTCCCAGCTCTCCTGGAGCCCCTTCAGGCCCTGGAAGGAGCTCTGAGCTCTCCCCGGAGCTTCTCTTCTCCAGGTGAGCACCCCCTGCTCTCCCAGCCTGGCTCCAGAGGGGCTCCAGCCCCGGAGCAGCTCCGGGGCCTCCTCTGGGCTCTCTCCAGCAGCTCCAGCTCCTTGTGCTGCTGTTCCCCAGGGCTGGGGCAGCTCTGCAGGTGGGGTCTCAGCTGGGCACAGGGGCAGAATCCCCCTCCCCTGCTGCCCACCCTGGGGGATGAGCTCAAGGCACAGGGGGTTTGGGAGTTCCTGTGCACTTGGACAGGGCACGTGGAGCTTCTCATCCACTGACTCCTTGAGTTTGGCCAGATCCCTCAGGATGGCACATCAGGTTTGGACACGTTCAGCCTTTGGCTGTCGCTTCCTCCCGCCTGAGAATATTTATGTTTCTGATTTCCCCGTGTTTAACATGCAAGCCACGAAGAAGTTGATTTCTCACTGAGCTTTCTGTCTCTGTCCTCTCTCTCCAGAGTCCTGAGCGCTGTGGAAGGCGTGCAGCAGGAGGATGGAGAGCAAGCCAGCAGTGAATGGCCACGCTGTTCCCGGCTCTCCCGGGGAAGACGTGTCAGGGACAAACCGCTTGTGCCAGGACACGATGCCGTGCAAACAGCAAAAAGCAGCTGGCAGGGACGTGGTGGGTCTGGAGGCTCCCAGGGAGCCCTCAGAGACAGCTGGCAGCATTGCAGGCGTCTACGTAGAGGCTTCAAAGAGGATAATGAGCTTTTATGAGGCCACCAGAGAGCATCTGCTGAGCCTGGATTCGGCCCTCTGCCTCCTCGAGGCCCAGGCAGCCACGGGCTCCATCTCCGACCCGCTGAGGAGCCGCCGTGTCCCCGTGGCAGAAGCCGTGCGGACGGGGCTGGTGGGGCTGGAGCTGAAGGAGAGGCTGCTCTCGGCAGACAGAGCTGCTACTGGCTTTGTGGACCCCTACACAGAAGAGAAAATCTCCCTCTACCAGGCCATCCAGAAGGAGCTGGTGGGGAGGGAGCAGGGCATTCGCCTGCTCCAGGCCCAGATGGCAACTGGAGGCGTCATCGACCCGGCCAGCGGTGGCCGGCTGCCGGCAGATGTGGCCTGTGAGAGGGGATATCTGGATGAAGAGATGAGCCAGCTTGGCTCTGACCCCAGCCACGAGGACAGCAAAGTGTTCCTTGACCCCAGCACAATGGAGAAGGTCACTTACTCAGAGCTGAGGAAGAGGTGTGTTGTGGATCCAGCCTCAGGCTTCCTCCTCTTGCCGCTGCAGATCACATTCCCAGGGCTGGGAGGGAGGGTGAGCAGCAGGGACCTGATGGACTCCGGCATCATCAGCTCCGATGTGTTCCGAGGCCTTGAGGAGGGAAGAGTCTCTGCCCAGGAGGTGGCAGAGAATGACATTGTTCAGCACTTCCTGCGTGGGACGAGGAGCGTGGCTGGTGTTGTGCTGCCCTCCGGGGAGCAGAAAAGCCTTTACCAGGCACTGAGGGAGCATCTCCTCGTGCCTGGGGCTGCTCTCATGCTCCTGCAAGTCCAGGCCTCCACCGGTAGCCTGACAGACCCCCTAAAGAACAAAAGCTACTCAGTGGATGAGGCTGTCAGGGTCGGTCTCATCGGCCCAGAGCTTTATGAGAAACTGTCTTCAGCTGAGAAATCCATCACTGGATACAGGGACCCCTCCACCGGAGAAATGCTCTCCCTGTTCCAAGCCATCAGGAAGGGCTTTGTTCCCAGGGATCATGGCCTTTGCCTTCTGGAGGCTCAGGTGGCCACGGGGGGTGTCATCGCTCCAGGCAGGCACCTCCGTGTCCCCATGGAGACAGCCTGCGAGTGGGGGTACCTGGACGAGGCCACCGGACAGCTCCTCTCCAGCCCTCCTGACGACGTCAAGGGGTTCTTCGACCCTGGCTCCAAGGAGAAGCTGAGCTACGCAGAGCTGCTCCAGCGCTGCGTCACCGATCCCAGCACAGGGCTCCTGCTGCTGCCGCTCGGTGGGGACGGCAGTGAAGGATCCCAGGGAACACTCGCCTTCCTTGACCACAGGACCCAGACAGCTCTGGAAAACACACAGGTACCCATCGCTGTCGGGAAATTCAAGGGCAAGTCGGTGTCTCTCTGGAAACTTCTCTTCTCTGACTACATCCAGGGCGAGCAAAGAGCTTTGCTCGCTCGGCAGCTCCTGGCAGGAACGCTCTCCCTGCAAGGACTGGGAGAGGCCATCAGAGCCGCCGTTGAGGAAAAGGCTGCCACTGCCAATGTCACCTTCAAGGGCCTGAGGGAGCAGGTGACGGCTGACCAGCTCCTGAGCTCGGAAATTATCAACAAAGACTTGTTTAAAAAACTCAAAGAGGGAGAAACATCGGCCAAAGAAGTCACCAGCATGGACACTGTCAGGAAGTACCTGCAGGGCACGGGAAGCATTGGTGGGCTGCTGCTCCCCGACTCCCAGGAGAAGATCAGCATCTACCAGGCAAAGCGGAAGGGACTTCTGAGGCCAGGAACGTCTCTGATCCTCCTGGAGGCACAGGCTGCCACAGGGTTTGTCATTGACCCAGCTGCCAACAAGAGGTATTCCGTGGATGAGGCTTTACGAGCGAACGTCATTGGCCCAGATGTTTACGACAAGCTGCTGGCTGCGGAGAAATCTGTCACTGGCTACAGAGATCCGTACACAGGTGACAAAATCTCCCTGTTCCAGGCCATGAAGAAGGAGCTGATCGTCAGGGACCACGGCATCCGCCTGCTGGAGGCCCAGATCGCCACGGGCGGCATCATCGACCCCGTGCACAGCCACCGCATCCCCGTGGAGGTGGCCTACAAGCGTGGCTACTTCGACAAGAAGATGAATTTAATCCTCTCTGACCCCAGTGATGACACCAAGGGCTTCTTCGACCCCAACACCCACGAGAACCTGACGTACCTGCAGCTGAAGGAGAAATGCATCACCGAGCCCTCCACCGGGCTCTGCCTGCTCCCTCTGAACAGCAGGAAGCGGCAGTTCATCGATGAGGCCACCAGGCAGGTGTTCAGGAGCTCCTGGCTGCCCGTCAGGTTCGGGCGCTTACGGGGGGAGAAGGTCTCTGTGTGGGACCTGCTGAACTCCGAGTACTTCAGCGAGGGGAGGCGCCGGGAGATTTTCAACCACTTCCAGCTGAGGAAGCTCAGCCTGGAGCAAATCCGACTCATGTTGGAGGAGGAAATGAAGAAATGGGCCCCCATCAAGTTCCCAGCCATGAGAGGCAATGTCAGCGCTTATCACCTGATGGAAACCGGCGTCATCGACAGGGCCCTGTTTGAGCAGGTGCTGGAGGGATCCGTCACCCCAGAACAAGTCCTGCGCATGGACTCCGTCAGGAAGTACCTCTACGGCTCGGGCAGCATTGGCGGGATTGTGCTCCAGCCATCCAACCAGAGAATGAGCATTTATGAGGCCATGAAGCAGAACATCGTGGTGCCAGGAGTAGCCCTGCCCCTGCTGGAGGCCCAGGCTGCCACAGGCTTCATTATTGACCCTGTGAACAACCAGAAGCTCCGTGTGGATGAGGCCGTCAGGGAGGGAGTCATTGGGCCAGACGTCCACGAGAAGCTGCAGCACGCGGAAGGGGCTGTGACGGGCTACAAGGACCCTTTCACGGGCAAGAAGATCCCCCTTTTCCAGGCGATGAAGAAGGGCCTGATCGCGGACAAGCAGGCCATGCAGCTCATGGAGGTGCAGATGGCCACAGGAGGCATCATCGACCCGACGTGTGGCCACTACATCCCCCTCGAGTCGGCCCAGAAGCGAGGCTGCCTGGATGAGGACACAAGCAAGGCCCTTTCCAAGCCCAGCGATGACCACAGAGTCTTCTGCCTCCCGGACAGCAAAGAGAGCGTGACCTACGCTGAGCTCATCCAGCACTGCCAGAAGGACGATGTCTCTGGCTTCCACTTGCTGCCTCTGGCACAGACAGCTGCTCCTGCCTACACCGATGAGCAAATCCAACGGATTTTCAAGGAAACCGTGGTGAAGGAGAAAGGAGTCTCCCTCTGGGAGCTCATGCACTCAGGGTACTTCACCCAGGAGCAGAGGGGAGACTTCATGGAGAGGTTCCGGTCAGAGGAGCTGTCGCTGGAGCAGCTGGTTGCTCTTGTGCTCAGGCTGGTGGGGGAGATGGAGATGAAAGCCAGGACCCAGATCTCCCTGGAAGGCCTGAGGGGCAGTGTCCCTGTGGTCTGGCTGCTGGACACCGGCATCATTTCTCAGAAGACATTTGAAGAACTGGCTCAGGGCGTAAGAACTCCTGAAGAAGTGGCTGCAATGGAGAGTGTAAAGAGGTACTTGAAGGGCACAGGCAGCATTGCTGGGGTCTTCATAGAGGAATCCAAACAAAAGATGAGCTTCTATGATGCCATGAAAAACAATCTCCTCCTCCCTGGGGCTGCTCTGAGGCTGCTGGAGGCTCAGGCAGCCACAGGATACCTGACTGACCCTGCAACAAACCGGAGGCTCAGCGTGAGGGACGCCGTGAGAGCGGCTGTGGTTGGAGAAGAGCTTACAGAAAAACTCCTTCTGGCCGAGAGGGCGGTGACGGGCTACACAGACCCCTACACCGGGAGCTCCATCTCCCTGTGCCAAGCGCTCAGGAAAGAGCTCATCCCCCTGGCAGAGGCTGTGCCCTTGCTGGAGGCCCAGCTGGCCACGGGAGGGGTCATTGATCCCATCCACCACCTCCACCTGCCGCTCCAGGCTGCCTGCAGGCATGGCTTCTATGACGAGGACCTCAACCAAACCCTGTCTCAGCTGGATGACAGCACCAAGGTCTTTTTTGACCCAAACACCAAGGAGAACGTGACCTACCAGCAGCTGAAGGACCGGTGCATTCGTGAGGCTGAGTCGGGTCTGTGGCTCCTCCCTCTGTCAGAAAACGCAATGTTCTGTGTGGATGAGCAGACCATGAAGGTGCTGAAATCTGTGACCGTTTGTGTCAACGTGGGGCGGTTCAAAGGACAGACCGTGTCTGTCTGGGACCTCCTCAACTCCGAATACTTCTCTGACAGCAAGAGAAGAGAGCTGGTGCAGAAGTACAAAGATGAGAAGGCTGAAGTGCTACAGGAAATCACAACAATTATCACCACAATCATCCGAGAGACTGAGGCACAAGGCAAGAAGTTTGCATTCAAAGGCCTGCGGAAAAGAGTCTCCGCCAGTGACCTCTTCCAGTCCCAGCTGATTGACAAAAAAACCCTCGATGAGCTCAACCAGGGGAAGAAAACAGTCAAAGAAGTCACTGAAATGGAGTCTGTCCGCAGGTACCTGGAGGGCAGCAATTTCATAGCAGGGGTCCTTATCCAGCCAAGCAATGAGAAGATGAGCATCTACCAGGCCATGTGGAAGGGCATCCTGAGGCCAGGGACCGCCCTGGTGCTGCTGGAGGCACAGGCGGCCACCGGATACATCATTGACCCTGAGAAAAACAAGAAGTTTTCAGTGGAAGAAGCGTTAAAGGTGGGTCTGATTGGAGG